GCTTTTGCCTCCTGCAACAAAGGAACATTTGCCACCACCAAATGTCACCGACATCCTCAGGCCAGGTCCAAAGGCTCCATGGGCCAGATCTGGCCTGTAGGCCCTGGCTGCCACTCCTTGGTAGAGAAAAACAAAATTGACTGCATTTTGACTTTTTAAAAGCTTTATTCTACAAATATTAAAAACAAAAAGGTGAAAGTGCAAAACTGTGTAATTGTCCCAAGGGCTGAGCGTGAAAGACTTGTCAGAAACAAAAACACCCTATCGCTAGAGATTGAAACACCACTCCCCATTCTCTTCATGGGATTATGCATTTAGGACTAGCTGTCCCTCTTCCGTCTGGCAGAGTGCCCCCTGGAGCGCCCAGCCCTCCACAAGGTGGTCCACATTTTGTTGCTAAGTGAAGTATCCATATTTTGAGGTGGTAGTGACTATTTACCACCTGAGATCCAGGCATTCTGGCCCTGATTAGATTCTTTCCATCTCAAGTGGGTTTGTCCTTTGAGTGCTGCAATATTCAAAGACACCAAAAATGTGGAATAATATGGGCTGACTTAAAATGTAAATTCTAACAACCAGGCACTTACACACATGAGGTCCCAATGTGCATACATGTCCAAGGTAATCACATATGAAAAACAGATGCACTTTGTGTCACATTCTGAGCCTTCTGCTTTTAATCAGCAATGCCCGTGGGCAGGTCTAGGATTTTGAAAAGGGGGTTGTAGGTGATGACACATCATCACATAACATGAATGACAGCAGTGGCAGAAGTTGTGGCGGGGGTGCGGTGGTAACGAGTGGGGAGATCCTGCAAGCAGCCACGGTGGTGTCAGCGGGGGGGGAAGCGCCAATCAACGGTCAGTGACCACCTGCAGATGCTGCCGGCCGTGGTGGCAACCAATGGCAATCAGGGAGTGCCCACAGACACCACCAGCGGTGTTGATGGCAGGGGGAAAGGGGGGTGCGAGCAGCGACCACCTGTAGGTGCCTCTGGCAGTGTTGTCGGTGCTTTTTACAGGGGGTGCACTGCCAATCTCAGGAGGTGCACATGCACCCATGTGCACTCCTTATGTGTTGCCAATGTTGCATAATTCAACACATTTTTCTCTACTTAAGAAAAAAAATAGAAGCTTTACTAATATGCCAGGGGATATATATATTATTCAGTTTATGATTCAAGCAAAACAAATATAACTGAGTCTGTGGGGAGCAGACTGCCAGCTGCAGGGTGGAGCAGGCACCTGGTGCCACAGGAGTATAGCTGTTACCTCCCAGTCTGGCCCTGGACAGAATTGCTCCCTCCAGCCTCATGAGTCCCACAGATACTCCATCATGGCCCCAAAATGCCCCGCACTGCTTTTTGTGCATTGCCCCTGTCCTCTCAAATGCTCCCTGCTTCCACTCTGTCCCTGTTATCCTATGTAGCCTCATGCTCAGCCCCACCACATCATGCCCCAACCCCATAGGACCCAACTATCTCCCTCATGCCCCACTGAGTCCTACTTGTGAATCCACTGCACCCTGTACAGACTCATTCCCATCATGCCCATCTCCTGACCCCTCACCATTCTCCTTAAACCCCACTGAACCCACCCCTACCCCTCTGAGCACCCAAACCTCAGTGCAGTCCCTTATACTGCCTTGGTCCCCCCAACGTCCACAATCCCTCTTGCTCCTGATCTCACCACATCCCATTTCACTCCCACAGAACCCACCAAACACCCATCAGCCCTTCACATCTCCCTGCCCCCATAATATCCCAGCCCCTCCTCACCTTATGTTCCTCTACCTCAGGGTTGGGCAATTATTTGGGCCATTTAGGACATTTTGGTGCACTGTTGTAGTCTGGGTCAGCACTCTCCCCTTCCCCCCCACTACCCTGCACCAGCCCATGGACCATATTTTGCCCACCCATGCTCTAGCCTGTCATGACCCAAAAGGCATGATTGTGTGTGTGTGCTTCGGCATCAGAATTATCCATGTTAAGTTGCAGAGCATTGCACGGGAGTTTCCTGTAGCAAGAGGAAACTCAGGTGCAGGGACCAGTTTCCCGCCTTTTCTGCAGCTTCTTTTGCAGAGTGCATTGCTCGAGTTGCAAGAGGAATGCACGGTGCAAAAGAGTTCCCGCCACCGGTATGCAAATTTGTTCCCCGTGATTGGCTAGTGCTAAATTATTCACACGTGGCGGCTAGCGATTGGCCTGTTAGCCGTATAAGAGGCTTGAACAGTTTCCGCCCAAGCCGAAGAGGACTCCACATCCATCTCGTGGGGACTCTGGGTACACGGCAGGGTAATAGAAACCCTGTGTGAGATCCAGAGGAGCGTGGCGGCCTGATCCACCGCCCACCTCTTCCTGTCTTCGAGCGCGACTAATATAAGACGTATTTACGATTTCTACATTGGTGGCCTATTCACCCAGAGCATCCGGAGCTCTGCACCGTGGAGCCTAGCAACCTCCACGAGACCGTCTGTGTTGTGTCTGTCTGTAACTGCAACTTAATCAAGCTTTCCAGCCTATACCATTGCCATCTCGGTGTAAGTAAACAATCTTTTAAACTACCGATACGCGTCCGTGCCTAATTCCAGAGCGAAGGCCTTCCCTCTCCGCCCCCGCATGCCCGGGCTGCTGGCCACAGCCCGCGTGCAGCGCAAAAAAGGGCTCGGGGCGCTCCCGGCCCGCACATAGCCCATAGGACCCCTCTCTCCAAAAGCCTTTTGGTGCCCATGGCCCAGACCCTCATAGCCCCCAGGAGCTCCTTCCTCTCCAAAACCTCTCTCAAACAGTTCCTCCCACCCCTCTCTGTCTCTGACCATTGCCTCCCCCATTTCTTCTCCACCTCCTCACAGGATGCCCATAGCTGGCCTCTATTGCCCTCCACCCTCAACATAAATAAACATTTAGGGTGGTGGAAAGGGCTGTCTTCAGTAGCACCTGTACACAGGGAGACAAACCCCCCTCATCCACCTATGGCAGTAGGCTCATATCATAGGAGACAGAATTAGGGCTTTGCTTCTAGTAGGGAAAAGGAGTGGAGAGAGAGTGTCTGGTCTTGTTCTGGAACAAGTATCTCGCTTATTAAAGGATGTGCAGGAAGCTTAACAAGGTACATCTTGCAGCAGTGGTGTTTCATGTGTGGGGAGAGGCAGGTCTTTGATTTCCTCGGTGGGCCACACCTCCCTTATCAAGCAATGGGTCATGAGCTGGAGATGCACAAATGAGCTCCACTGGAAGGTTACTAAAGAAATCATCTCTTCCCCACCCCTGACAATGGTTTGATTGGGATGTGGTGACCATCACAGACTGCCCCAAGCCTGTACCTATGTCCGTCAGTCTATGGCTGAAGAAAGAGGAAGGGTAGCTTAGCTGGGATTACAATAGGCTGGTACCTGGAAGAATAAGGTTGAGTTCCCAGCTTGTTCCTCAAGTGTATACTGGAAACCGTCAGTTCCCCATGTGTAATTTGGAGATCCCAGCACTGCCCAGCAGCCCAAAGGTGTTAGTACAGTCACCCACCCTGGCAATATTCAAAAAGTGTCTTGATGCCCACCTTGCTGGGGTCATCTGATCCCAGCAGTCTTTCCTGCCCAAGTGCAGGGGGGCTGGACTCAATGATCTGTAAGGTCCCTTCCAGCCCCTAACATCTATGAAACTATGTCTGGCTTTAGACCACTCTAGTTGAGCTACTGATTCAGCCTCCCACAGCCACTGTCATCTGTTCCTATGAATAACTGTGGAAGGGGTCACTGCAGTAATTTACCTCTTCGCCTCACCTTTTCAACTCCTTCCTGCCTCTGACTGCTGTGTCAACAGACAGTTCAGCCTGTTTTTCACCTTGCCCTTCCCTCCCTGTTTCTGATTTGTTGTGGATTGGAATCTCATAGGAACAAAGCCACCCAATACAGGTTCCTAGGCAGCAGTGCACCTTTATTAGACGTGATGGGTAGGAAGGGGAGGAGGGAACAGAGAAACATTACCAGGAGTAAATAGCAAACAGGATAACTATAGAAGAAAGTCTAGCATGATTAGGGGAAGATCAAAGGTTGTTAACCCCACCCCTGTGCTATGGAGTGAAGAAATTACGGTTGTTATGGAGTGAAGAAAATAGCAGAAAGCAGGTAGATAATAATGAACCATAAAGTCAATTGACTCCCTCGCTCCACCTGAATAGAAATGTAGCTGTCCTTGCCAGACAGTTTGTTTTAAACTTTCAGGTTATGGGTACACCAACACTTAGGACTTTTTCCAAAGGGTAAGGTTTCAATAGGGCAGTAGCTGGTACATTCTGTAACAGGGAAGCTGTTATCAGCTCCTGTTAGGAAAAAAAAAGTGAAATACTTACCTGGGATGAGGGCATGGAGCATGGCACGAAAGATGACATCATCAAGTGGCATCCACCAAAGGAGTTTCCAGATCCAGCAGAGGGGGGAGATGATTGGTCCTAAACACCCGCTGGAATCGGAAAGACCTACAAAAAGAGAAACAATGTGAAGGTTAGTTTCCCCTGGAAGGGGATGGAGGAGCAACTCCCAACAGTTGCTATCATTTACATGGAGGCGTATAGCTGAACAGAGTCTACAATGGGAGACAATGAGTTGAACTGTTGATTATGAGATCTCTGTGAGAGTGATGGTGAGTCCTGGTGAACAAGACAGCTGGGGAAAGTGGAAAGAACAGTGGGAGGATAATGAGGAAGCTCTTCTGTAACAAAGGAGTGGGGGAAATTCCTTCCTAAACCCACTGTTGGATAGAACTACGGGAGGGAAACATTCGCTGATGCAAGTGATTGTATAACAGTGAAAGAGACAGTGTATCTGATAATGTTAGATGAGAAGATTGGCAGTAGAACAAACCTGCTGGAGGTATAAGCTGGGTGAGGCATTTTCCATCGTCCATGAGTAGGAATTTCAAGATCAATACTGATTGGGCATGGACGGGCATAAGGGGAGGTGGAGCCCTGCAATAACAATAACAACAACAACAACTATCAAATTGGAACTGTTATTGTATGCTAGTCAGTGGTCGCCCCTTTGTGGTATATATTAATTTATTTTTTCCTGTCAAGGCATGGCCGGAGAGTCCCCAAAGAGGAGACAACAACACACATATATACAGAGCAAACTGGGATACCTTTATGTGACCTGCAACTGTCCTGTGACACATTCCATTTGTTATGGAACAATGAGCTGAGAACGATTCAAACTTAGAAAACCTGCTCCAGCTTCAACACTGGATGAAGGTGTGTTAAAACTAGAACAGGTTTTCCTGAATTTGGATTGCCTTCAGTTCATTCTCCTATAACAAATAGTACCAATTTCTGCCCTTTGGAAATGGTCACTTTTTGAGAGGGTGCCATGCATTCACTAGAGCAGGAATAACTAGCACTTCTACACATTGTAATTAGACAGCAGTCTTTGGCAGACATTAAGCATTTCCCCTACATAGGTAGCCATCTTTCCCAAAAAGGTGAACATAGTGATATTCAAATCTGGATGAAATCTGCCAGTGCTGCCTTTGGACATCTCTGAAATCATGTTTTTCATTATCACAATTATCAGCATCCAAACCAAACTTCTTGTCTGCCAGGCTGTTGTCATCCCTACCCTGTCGTATAGGTGTCAAACTTAGATGACATATTGGACACTCTTGAAAGCTCTGGAATGTTACCATCATCAATGTCTTTGGAAAATGTTCCATATCAGGGGTGCTCAACCACTGGACCACAGGCAAGATCCAACCCATTGTCATTCAGCTCACCATGTGATGGCCCTGCACACTAGAGGGCAGCACAAGGCCTGATCCCAGTATACCAGATTGGGCAGAGGTGTTGTGGGACAGCAGGGCTCAAATCCTAGCATATGGGATTGGGTGAAGGTGGCACAATGTCCTGGGCCCCTAATCCCAGCATGCAGGGCTGGGCAGAGGTAGTGAACTGCTCCCAACATGGAAGACTGGGCAGAGGTGGCACAGGGTCCTGGGACTTCAATCCCGGCAAATGGGGCCTGGTGGAGGCAGTGCAGGGACCCAGGACCCCAGTTCTGGCTTTGGAAACTGGGTGGAGGCAGTGCAGGGTTCTGTGGTTCCAATCCTGGCATATGGAGTTGGGCAGGGGGAGTGTGGTGTCCCAGAGCCCTGATCCCAACATGCAGGACCAGGCAGAGGTGGTGTGTGGTCCCAGGGCCCCAATCCAGGCAGCACAGTTTGGATCTGGGCACATAGGCATGGTCCTGGGGTATGGAGTCTGATTTGGCCTGTGGATTGGCCCTGCTGCACTCATTTGGCCCAGGGGCCAAAAGGTTGAGTACCACTGCTCCGTATTAATTGGAAGGACAAAAGAACCAATGCCAGCATTCTAGCTTAAGCAAACACTCCCAGCCTCGAAGCCATGTTGATACAGTACCAGCTCCATTGGACAAGACATGTCAGAAGGAGGCCTGACAACTAGCTTCCAAAACTGGTCCCAGCTCACCAATGGTCACCGCTCTAGAGAGAGGCAAGAGAAGAAATTCCAGGACAAGTTGAAAGCTAATCTGAAGAAATGCAATATTAACATGAATACCTGGGAGGCTCAAGCACTGAACAGTCCCTTATGGCACTCTGATGTATGACAAGGCATGAATCATGTCCTGCAAATTTGCTTCACGGTAGAGGCAGATAGACCAGACAGACAAAGTGAAAGAGCGGTGACCCAACATCCCTGGGTTGTACTCTTTCCTTCCAGAACTATTTGCCATGTCTGCAGTCAAACACGTGGATTGTGGATCAGCCTCCTCAGTCACCTATAGACTCACCAATGAGTTCCCTATTTACTGGAAGACTGTCATCCTCTTATCAGGGGACTACCCATGATAAATGGAACAGGGATCAAAAGTGGGGAAATGTAATTGCAGTCTGCTACCCCTCATGCCCTGCCTTGGATTCACCCCCTGTAAAATGCCTATTTTATAGTTTAAGATGGAACTTGTAAAACTGAAACAGAGCTGAAAGAAGGTAGCATCACTGCCACCCTTCTATTTCCATGCAAAACTATTGTAGTTTTATTTCTTTCATTTAAGGCAAAAGGATAAAAGCAGGATGCAGAAAAGCACTCTGTCAGGACATAGCTGAAACTCAATGTTCTGGTCCCATCTCTGCCATAGACTACATGTATGATTTTGTGTAAACCACTTTGTTTCTGTGACAAGCACTAATGCAACCAGCTATAAAATCAGTTCCTACCCATCAGGCTGTGGTCCCAGGCAGCAGGTTACTAAAGTCATGGTAACAGTTGCCTGAAAACTGAAGACAAAAGACTTGAAGTAACTGCTTTGGGGAAACTGCACTCAAACAAAGACATGGCTGTTTCATTACATGAATCAAGGCATCCACATAAAGCTAAGAGGCCTGTGCCATAGTTACAAAAACAGCACTGTGCACACACACCCTAGGGATTTCAGGGCATGGCCTTGTCTCGTACATGCTGGATAGTTGCTGTGCACAGTGTGATATGTACCAGGGGCAAGTCTCCATGTTCCACATCCAGAGATCAACTGCTAAAATGCCCATGGTTCCCTCTGATAACTTCTCTCAGGATAGAGACAGCACCGTTTTCAAACTATAGGAACAGCAACAGAGTTGAGTTTATGTCTTGATCTCACTAGAGAACACACAATAGAGGACAATGTGGGGTCAGGCCAATGCTCAGGATCTCAATATCGCGCTGTTAGACAGAGGCAGACTGGAGGGGAGCTGGGGTTACTTAAGGTCAAGTGGCCCCAGCGTTACTCGAGGTCACTGGTGCAAGTGAAAAAGCCTGGTGGCAAGGAGGAGACAGCCAGGAAAGGGAGAGAGGCAGAAAGCTGGGAGATTGGGGCTGGAAACTGAGGCAGAAAGCTGAGAGATCATGGGGCAGATAAGTGGTGGCAAGGAGGAAACAGTAGGAAAACAGACAAAAACCCAACTTGGGGTTTCAAAATAACAGGCTTATTAAACAGACAACACACTACACAGCCCCATGAAGTTATTGGTTCCTACACACGCACACACACAAGCACTCACAATGGTAGCAGGAGAAAGAGACTCAGTGGACGGGTTGGAGTCCAGGTAGGGAAGAAAAACAGAGTCCAAGTCCTTGGTTGAAGAGAGGGTGGGGGTGATTGCTACCTATCCAGGCTGGAAAGGGGTCTTTGTCCAGCAAGTGTTGGCCAGAGGGGGTTGCTGGCAGGGCCTCTGGGTGGATAGGTGGTGTGACATGGTGCTGGTCCAGATGGAGAGGTTGTTGCACTGGGTCTGTCTTCCCATAGGGGCAGACCTCCTATGACCCTAGTGGCAGGGGCATGCCCAGGCAAGAGTCAGCCCCTGGTGTACTGAGTATGTGCACTCCTAGGTAAGAACATGCAGTTTCAGGTGTCTGTAATGGTAGGGTGACTGATTTCTGCAGCAGTCTTTGTCTTCCAAATCTTTAGTCAGGGAGGGTCAATGCAGGGTGATGATCATGTCATCGAGTTGATGGTTCGATCATTCAGAAGGAGCTTTTTTAGACCTACTGCCATTGTCTCGCAAGCACCCTCATTCATCCCCATTAATTCAGGAACCATTTTCTATAGGAGGGGTAGGTATGAGTCATAGGTTACAACATACTTACACAACAGGGCATGGGGACAAGATGGGAACAAGAAGGGAACCTGACACACAGAAGAATACTTGACATCACTCATGCCAACCCATATTGCAGGCCTAAATCTTACAATGTTAATATGAAACAATAAAAATCAATGCAGAAATGATAGGAATACAATATAAAACAGTAAAAATCAATACAAACATAACAGAGCACTATTTACAATATATAAAGAAGGGGCTTATTACAATAATAGTATACAAGAACTTAGCTTACCTAGTACTACCTGAAATCACTTATAAGGGCTAGAGAGGGCAGAGAGAAAGTCAGAAATGGTTGGGGAAGGGGGTTGGAATGTATTAAAAAAAACAAACAAACAACAATTTGGGACTTTGCTACAGTGTAAGCTTTCAATCTTCAGAAATTCAAGGTAGCATGTGCTTTTACCTTACTAGCATGTTAGGCTGCCTGTTCACAAACTTCTTGCTTGAACTCCTGGCCATAAGTGTAAGAACATGGAATGGCAATGCTTTTGGTAAGTGAGAAACAACTCTGCCCCTTCTCCCTACCCCACCCCCTTCTCCTAGTTATTAAGTGTAAGTAGAAGTAGTAAGTGAAAAATCCCACCATGTGCCAAGAAATGCAAAACCAAACAGAGCAAACCAGGCCAGGAGATTAATTTTGAAATTAACAACACATACAAAAGAATGAGAATGCAGTACAAACCAGGGTGGGTCTTTAACGTGAACAAAACTTTATGCAACAAGTGCAAAAATAATTACAATAGGGGCTGGCTGATGGCATAAACTCTTGTATCTTGACTCCTAGGCTGCATGCCTGCCACCTGCAGGACAGCCTAGAGCTGAGGTCCAGCATTGCCACTACCGGAGTGCATTCCCAGCTCTAGAGACCCAGGGGGTAGAGAGTCGGGGAATGGGTCAGGTTATTAAGCTGAGCTGCTGTCACATGCGTGGTGGCTTCTGGGACTACCTGGGCAGCATGGTTTGAAATTTTGCTCAGCATTCTGAGTGAGCAAACTGGGAACTGTGGTGAATCATGGATACGGGTCCTGCTGCTGGCTTCCTCTGATGTATGCTTTGAGTTTAACGATATCCTTCTCTAATGTATGCTTTGAGTTTAATGATATCCTGGTGCTCTGGCTTCCAATTTGAGAGAGGTTAGTACAGGAAGGGTGCAGGGGGGCATCAAGAAAGGCTGGTGATTGCTTTAATATGTCCCCACTCTCTGGATGAAGAAAAAGTAAATAAAATGCTTAGCCTTTCCAACTTAGGGGAAGTCTGCTGGGTGCACATTACTGGTTTTCATTAGAATGGGGCTTTCAACAGTTCTGGGTGAAAGACTGGATAGCCATTTTCTGGGGAACGGGCAAGAAGTGTTCATTGAACTTATTACATTTGGGACTATACTATAGCATTTTTTGTCTCACTGTGTCCCAAGCAAACTTACTCCAGACTCTGGGCTGTACATTCTTCTACAGGATTTTAGCTGTTGTGGCTTCTGAGTGACTTCTAAAGCATAACAGGGTGAAGTTACAGGTTATACTTAGACCATACTAAAGGCCCTTAAAATACAAGCATCTGCACATTAAAACTCATTACCTCATGCTTAGTGCTATTTGAGCATTCAAAATTAATCATCAACTAAAATAGGCTAACTCTGGGCTGTACTGCCTACCTCATGTTATGGTACCTTCAGTGTGCTCCATAGAGATAAAGAGCAATTTCCAGTCTTCTAAAATCCCAAGATATATCACTCACAGCCACCCCTACAAAACAGAGATAAAGCCCAGGTATCCTAGCTCCTAGTTTGCAAGAAATAGTAGTCACCCTTGACATAGTAGTCACCCTTGACTGCTCACAGCACATTCTGGGCATTTGTATAAATGGCAAAATGTGCATCAGCACTGAGAAAATGGCAGCAGCATGCTTTCGAACTAAAACACATCAAAGGTATTTTAGTTCAAAAGTATAGCACCATCATTTTTTCAGCGCTAATGTGTATTTCGCCATTTATACGAGCACATGCAATGCAGTGCCAGGGACGTTAGCTCGCATGTGGAGCAGACTGGGATTCACTCCAATGTGCTGGAGATCCGGCATGTTGGAGCAGACAAATGTATGTGTATAAATACCCTCTAACTTTAACACTGCTTAACATTGCACAGATTCAGTATGGTTTCAGTCAGGGGATTCAAACCTAATCTGGCTCCATGTGCTGTCTGGTCTGTATGCCAAGCTTGCACTGACCCCCTGTGTAGTATCCATAGCACCAGGTCCAGCTTGCATGCAGCATTCAGCACAAATCAGCCCCAGGGCTGTCTGTGCACATGGCACAGCATGGGGCATGCACTGCCTGTGGTGCACAGGCTGGATCCGGCACTGCAAGCAGCACAGGGGCTCAATCCAAGGTGCCACATGTGGCCCACGGCCTAGGCCCTCTGCACCACGTGCAACCCTGATCAGGCAGTACACATCCTGTACCAGCTCCGTGTGCTGCGTGCATAGCGAGGCCTGTGGCCAGCATGTGGCTGTAACATGTAACATGCTGGGCCACAGCTAGAACATGGAGTCTGTTCATTGACCCACGGGCCAGATCCAGCCCATGAGCCATATGTTTGACACTTCTGATCTAAGTGTAATATATAACTTCACTCATAGTTGCCAGGGCATTTCCTATAACATCCTCCTCCCCCAACATGAGTTCATTGTGTGAGAGAGAATTTGAATTTAGTATATCCAGAACCTAGTGGGGGCAGGAGGTTGCAAATAGAGAAACAAGTAAAAATTGTGGAGTGGTTTGAGGGAGGGGATGCAAACAACATATGCAAAGTTAAAGGCAGGAGAGGGGAAAGCAGACTAGGCTCATCTAGGAGAATAGAAATAGCAGCTCGGGAAGGTTGGGGAAGGAGACTGAGAGACATTGTTGGAAAAAACCACCATTTTGGGTTCACAGAAGGAGGCTAGACCATGAAGGACAGAAGAGCAGAAAACAGGAGGTGCATTCTCGCATCTGCCCAGGGTGGCAACATGCAGCACAGGCAACAAATAAATGCTGATTAGCCACACCTGGGCATGCTCCAATATGAATGTGAAAATGTGTGCATGCTTACCGTTATATCCCTCCTCATCCCTCCTGTAGCCAAGAGCACTGCTGAGGGTAGCTAGCTGGCTGGCAAAAACCAGTGGGAGTTGAGTTCCTAGATCAGGGTGAGTAGCTGAGCCACCAGCTCCTGGCTGGCCAAACAAGTCCCAGCTTTCCTGCATCTCATCATGCATGAACTCCTCAGGTTATCCCCTTTATCAGCAATGAAATACAGCTCAGTGCTTGGCCTTCTCCACCAAGATCCTCTCCAGCTCCTTCTTGGAAGGAAACATAGTTCACCTAGTGCCTGAGCAGCCGTTGATTTCTCTCACCTACTTATACACCCCTTTAAGTCCCTGGCCTTGGACCAGCATTGCAAGCTGTCACAGTGGTATTCCCTCACTCCTATCTGTGTGGTTATGGCTTGGTGTTCTGGTGACTTATTTCCTCCAGGCTTTTGCCCTCACCAATAGCAACAGCAGGTTGAGGACTTCTTCATGGGTCCAGGTGCTGGAGGCAGGACAGGGAATTCTTGATGGTATAAAGGTTAACGTGCATGTAGAAAGATGAAGCTGGGGTGATTCCCAGAGCATCTAAGAACAGTAAGAACCTGACTGCACACCAGAAGGTACGCTAGTAGGTGACATGTGGTCACCTAGAGAAGTGAATAAGGCACATGCAGGCAGAGTACTTGGATTAGAGAAGGAGGCAAAGAGTGTGGGAATGTAGCTGGCAGACTAGATAAAGTGCATGTCAAATATGTTGCTCCAAACTGATATTATCCTACAGTACCAGTAGTGATTTACCTCCATTTAAGCAGGGTGGGGGGAGGGGAAGACATATGTGATTAAAACTCTTTTTTTTCCCTCCTCTTGACTCGACTGGGCTTTCCACTGATGCACCTAATACCTATTCTTTGTACTGGTCCTCAGAGCTTTAAGAACAGAATTCCCCTGGCAACATACATACTCAAAGGACTTTGATCAGTGTGGAAATAGAAAGAAAGAAGAAAAGAAGTGAAGACTGGAGAAAAATGAACAAAATAAAGCTATGGTGAAGGTAAATATAAGGCTATAGAAACGGGGAAGGAGGAAGGATGCCAACTGGCCCATGCCTGGCACGAGGGCAGATGAGAAAGGAGAGTACTGTTCCAATTCAGTGCAAATGAGGCACCAATGATGCCTGGGAACTGTTAGTCCATAACTTTTGCAATGCAGTCAACAAAAGTTTTCACTCATTCCTTCCCCATTCCCTCATGCAAATCATTAAGTAACTGTAGTTTGGAGGCCAAGCTCAGTGGTAGCCCACATTTATCTTCTCTGCATTCCTCGGAGTAGATGTCTTGTTCTTAATTACTATTGCTGAATCATGTTTCATTCTGAAACAACATTTTCCCTTTGTCCTGTGGTTATTTAATTTTCCATCACAGCCTTTTGTGAGGTGATTCTAAAACCATTCAGATTCACAAATATGCCAAATCCTTTAGTTTATTTTTAAGTTATAATTTACCATATTTTCTTGCATACAGCACACACCTTTGCTCCTGAAAAATAATCAGGGAAGCCTATTTTTTGCCCGAGATAGAAGTACCTTTCACTGCTCCACAGTGTAGCAGCTTTGGTATTACTATTCAGGCAGTTTAGGGAGTCAATGGTCTGAGTTCATGACCAATCGTTCTTCACAGGAGTTAACAATCATCTCTCTTTTTAATGGCCAGTCTACTAATCTACCTTTCTTAGGGCAATCCTGCTTTCTGCTAGGGCTTCTGGTCTCTTGCTTGATCTCTTTTTAAGATGATAGATCTGTCAGGGTCCACAGATGGATTAGGCTTAGTGGTTAGAGCCAGGGTGTTACCAGTGACCCTAATCAAGGTGAAAGCTGAAGTCAAACTGGGATTCACACACTGAGTAAGAGGGGTTACCAAAAGTGGATGCCAGGAAGTGAGCCAAAGTTAAACTGGGGTTCTGAAGTTCAGGGACTAGATACCTGGGCAGGAAAGCAGAAGCAGGCACCAGGGAAATCATAGGAATGAGAACTACTCATAGACTGAAACCAAGCTGTTGCACAGCAAGGGCCAGGTGCTCCAAGAACTTCTTAAACAGGCCTAAGGGGTCTGTGAAAGATGACTGGGATCAATCAAAAGTATGTGAATACCCACACTTACAATTCAAAGGGGTCCATTATTTCATTAAAAATGTGTAGGGGTCTGCAAATGAAAAAAGGTTGAAAACCACTGCTCTACAGTATTGAGGGTGACAAGTTTCTTTTATTAAATGTGTATTACAGTTCGGATTCTTGGGCTTGAGGTCTGAAGTGCTTTGAAAGGGCACAAGTGGGATTCAAGAGGTGAATAAACCTTATTCGGGTCCTGTTGACAAGGATAAATTTATTTACAATGCACAGAGCAAGAGAGGTGGAAAGCAAAGCTGGTACGTAAAGCTCCCATGTGTTGCTGTGTACACTTCTTACAAGGTGTTGCCTTGGAGAAGTCCAAGGAATTCTTTTTGTACCTGCCTCTGATGGTCAAAAAGCACCAAACAGCCTGGTAGGGAGCTGGGCAGCTTGTTCACCTGATCAAATATCCTTCCCATCTCTAAGGATGGGGTACAAGGTATTGCTTGCTGCAGGATCAAAGTTGGGTGGGCTGATACTCCCTGGACAACTTAGCAAGCTTCTGAGGACAATGTAAAACAGTGACATAATGACCTCAGTAACAAACACCTGTTTTGATGTGATTTATAGAAGAAACATTTACCCTGCTAGTTAGTTTATGGTGTGTGGCAGAGTTCCTTCTAAGTCTGTAACATAACAGGGATAGCAGCTGTGTACATTGTTATAATTAATATTCACAAACATTTCCCAATTTTCAATAGAGGGAAAAACAACTTTAATGAAAAATAGCAAAATATTGGAAAAGTGAGATTGGCTTGGTTGTTGATTTGATTTAAAAATGTGATGTCATATTTTTACTATTTTTCAAAATGTTTGAGGATTGGATGCTTTTTAAAAAATATATATTTTCTGAGGTAAAATTATCTCTATAAAAAATCCGTGATAGACCAAAATTAGGTTTATTCCATTTTTTCTTGTCTAACCCAGTTCAATTCCTAGTCTTTCTATTCTAGCGGAATTTGAAGATTCCCAGTTTTTCAATATATATTTTGATCCCATATTAAAGTATAAAATATTTCCTCTCTCTTCTATTGGCTTAGCTTTTAAAATCATCATAAAAAGTTGCATTGAAACAAGAGCAATGAGACATCATTTATTCAAATCTGAATATATTTTTCCATTTTTAAAGTTATTTATTTACTAATCTAACTTTATCCAACATGTTTTTCACAGCATGTTATAGTTTCAAATAGTATTTGTGAATAATGTTCTGGCTGTGGATTTCTCTTTCAAACATGCTTTTTAAAAGACTATTTTGTATGCTTTCATTTGACATCTGCATTTAAGTGTCCATTCTGTACACTGCTAATTACAAAACTCTCCCTTCCCAACGGATCATTTCACTGAATCACCTCAGTAAATGGAACCCAGCTTTTATTTTCTATTGAAAACTCTGTTTGCAGTCACTACATAACTTTCATCAGGTGGTGGTTTCCTCTGGCTGCCAGGTTGCAGAAACTTCTTAATTGTAGGGATGTTACATATTCTTGTTTTAAAATCCTAAAATGGGAAATAGTAAAACTTTGAAGAATCATTGACATTTTTTGCAAAAACTATTTAAGATAAATGTCTGGAATCTGGCTGAGCTCCAGTTAATGAGATTCTGGATGAGAGATGCATCTATCCCATTCTTTTCCAAGTAGATATGGAGATAGGAAACAATTTTTAACGTAATAATATTTCTTTTTAAAATGTTGTTCTTTCTAGCCATTTGTGCCTTTCATTGTCCAATATCTCCAGAAGACAGGGGCAGGGACAGATGCTAAGAAGGGATAGCAATGCCACTGCACCCTCTCCTTTCAGCTGTGCAGAGAAAGGGCAATGAACTCTCTGAGTTCAGTGGCAAGTCAGCATACCTCCTGCTGTAGCTCCCCATGTGCCCTGCACTCTCAGGCTGCCTATACATGTGCTGCTTCATATTCTAATTAAAATGTGTCAGAGCAGACTCGATTAATCAAGTTTGCTCCGCATTCTAATTAGAATGCTTCAGCATGGCCTCATTGTCACATGTATGGGTTTAAAAATAGCTGCTGGGGCACTTTATCTAAACCTCGGTAAGTGAGGTTTAGATAAAGCATCCCACGATCATTTTTTAAACCTGTGGGGGCTTAATATGCATAATGGTAAAACATTTTAAGTAGACTGGATCTCCAGGAAACGCTCTAATTAAAATACCTGCCCTGCAAACCCTGATAGGCACCCTCTGTATTTACTCATTGATTGGTGCAGGATCTGGCTGCAGCCCTTGCTTTTATGCAGCTCTAGTGCCCAGGAGGTGAATCGCTTAAACCTGCCTTTTCCCCTACCACTGGATTCCCCTGCATCCCCCCCCCCCCCCCCCCCCCCCCAGGCTCCACATCTGTGCAAAAGCAGGGGGTCCTGGTCAGAGCTTAGATGGTTCAGCTGGTAAGTACAGGAGACAGGCAGAGCTCTGCTAAGAGCTTCACTGACATGCCAGTCAGCTCAAAAAGCGCAAGGTACATGCACCACACAACTGACTGGGGTGTGTCTAGAGCCTCTTTGCCTCTGTTCTGGACTTGCCCATGGGCTGGAGAATATATTGCCTTCAAAGGGTAGTATACAGAAACTGTCATACTGGATGAGACTCAAGGTCCATTTATTTCAGCATTCTCTCCAACAATGGCTGGAACCAAACACTTCGCAGGAAGGCTTCAGTGGACTGCCACAGAAGAATTTTTTCCACTTATTAGAGCTCATTCTTGTTTCTAACAGTTATAGTTGCCTATGCCCTGAAATTTGAGATGTAATATTTTTCAAGAATTATGAATATTAGCTATTATAATTCTAGATGGAGTTGCTATCTATATAAATGTCCAATTCCTTTTTCAATATTTCTAGTTCTTGTTTAAATGACCTTTCAGAGCAAAAAGTTCCACAGTCTAATTATGCCTTGTGTTAAAGCATTTTAGTTACATAATTAATTTTGAATTTGTCACCTCTTAATTTAATTGTAATATCCTTGTTCTTTTGTTATGAGACAGGGGGAAGAGAGGCTTTTGACCTTCTCTCTTACAGGGACTGCATACATAAAACATGGTTAGTCTAATTTCTGAGTGAACTGGTTTTCACTTCAGCTTACATATGAAATGAATGGTGAATAGCATTAGCCCAGCTGTGCATTTCCTTGTCTTCTAATGACAATGAAACAAAACAAACATTATAGAATCATAGAAAATGAGGTTTGGAAGTGACCCCAGGAGGTCATCTAGTCCAGTGTTTTTCAACTGGTGGGTGGTGACCCAAAAGTGAGTTGCAAGAATATTTGAAAGGGTCACAAGCAAGTCCCAGGAAAATCCATGAACGTGCGAGTTTCCCCTTGCAGATTGGCAGCCTGCAAGGGACTGCTTGGGATGATTGGAGGCAGCAGGCACACATGCATCTGCAAGCATGGGAGCAGCCCCAGCTGCTGGAAACAGGTAAGTGTATAAGGTGCGGGGGGTTGGAGGTCCAGGGGACTGTCCAGAGGGCTGGGGTGTGTGCCTGCAAGTGCTGGGGAAGGTGACTGGGCACAGGGCTGTGACAGGGCAGAGGGAGTAGGGAGAAGGGAGAAGGGGATGGGGGCAGTTTGCAGCGGGGAGCTGTGTGCCTGGGCCAGTGGTCCAGGGCCAGTGCCCAACCATAAAGGGACCCACACTTGCTGCTCAGGGATTGGAACAAAGGCAGCCCTCACTGCTTGTGCTTTGGCCCAAGCGGGATGGGGGCAGCCAGGGCACCCTCCTGCAGGGTTGTGGTGGGGGCAGGGGACTGCAGGTCAGGAGTGAGGGGCCCAGCATGGCCCAGGGGGGCAGGGGACTCTGGGTCAGGCACCAGCAGGGCCATGGGGTGTAGGTCAGGACAAGCCATTGATCTTGGCAAATGGGTCCTGGTATGCAAAAAGTTGAGAACCACTGATCTAGTCCAACCCTCTGTTCAAAGCAGGACCATCCCCTTTATCTCTTGGTCTTAATGTGGTCATTTTGAAGGCACTAAGGTTGCACAGTAAAGTCTGCTGACAGTGATTACATTGGAGTCCAGGTATTCCTTACCTGTAATAGTGGGAATTTGGAGAGAATTGTGGACACTTTCTCTTCTACCATCAGTATAGCTTCAATCAGTTGGACATCTGCCCAGGTGAGTTGGTTTCCAACTAGAAACTCTGTTCCATGATCTTTTAAAACCTACAGAATACAAGGGAAATTTTGCAAATATTATACTATGGTTAAATTCAATTAAAAATATTAAGGACAAGTATGAATATGAGTTATGTTTTAATGGTTTTTACATAGTTAGGTTATCTACCATATTATCAGAGGTCACAACACCCAAATAATAAAATTGTTAAAATTCTCCATGTATAGAATCTACTTATTGAAGAGTCATCTTAAATTTGTTCTCCTCCCTGCCTCTTCCCCCCATCCAATGCGGTGGTGCCTGGGTGCAAGCAATGGGAGGGGCAAGGGGGGAGCAAGGTCCACCCCCTCCTGCTTCCCTCTCTGCTGGCTGCCCCCATTTCCCCCCACCCCTGTCCCCCAAATAGTCCCCCTGGCTGCCTGGACTCCCTTGTCAGGCAGCAGCAGCCCCATCCCTGGTCAAGCAGCAACAGCAGCAGTTCCAGCTCTGCCTCCAGCTCCATATTGAATTAATTAAATGTATTCAGTTAACTGTCCTTTCTTTCCTCCTAGTATTATTAAACAACTTTAAAACATGAATCACCTTTTCATAAACTGGGAAGTACCTGGCTGTAGCCCTTTCATTTATTAAAGCCAGATTTTTCTCCTGTTCCTCAGGTGAAAATTTATGGTGGACCCTGATCAAGTCCATCAGATCTCTTGTCCCTTCCACATACATGTCAATCCTGAAGAAAACAGAGAAAAACAATATTTTCAGCTTTTCATTCTTCCTTAGAATAACTGAACTGATTTTTACAGAATTTAATTTTGTGTGATCAATCAACTCATGACAAACTGTGGGTGTGTCTGCACAAAACCTAAATGCGCATTAGACCAAGTCTACTGTGCATTAATGCATCATGCAGAAAGCAAGCTAATGTGCTAATGCACAGTAGACTTAGTTGAATGTGCATTAAGCATCACAAAAAAGTGTTAATCTGTGCTAATGCACAGTAGCACCAATTATGGAGCACTACATTAGTACCTGTTATTACAGGTTCTGAACGTAATGTGCCATAATTACAGCAAATTAATGAACATGTAGGTGTGTCCTCTCTGAGTTCCCCAGAACCCCAAGTCCTTCATACAGCTGTGCTGCTTATTCTTAGGGAATATACTAGATTTTCCTTTTCCCATGTCAGCAAATCTCCCTAGCCTCTACCAAAGTCTGCAGCTCTTTAGGTGTTTTTTCCTTTAGAATGCAACTGGCTATTGTGTGAGTTTAACACTGCTCAATGGGCACATCTACATGTTCATTAATGTGCAGTGCCTACTACGCATTAAATTTAGTACTTGTATAATCAAGTACTAAATAAATGTGCAGTAGGCTGCCGTACTGCACATTAGCATGATTGCATGCTTTGTGTGGCGCTTAATGCGCAGTAGACTAATACTACTGTGCATTAGCATATTAGCATGGGCCCAGTGTCTCCCAACAAGATTTCTTAATATGAACTAGCTATTAACTAATCAAAGCAGTTGCACATATCAATAAATCAACTTGATGACCTATTATGCAAACTCAAAAACATGAAGCCTATCTTATATTGAACACCATGTCACTTACATTTATGTACATTTTACAAATGAACATAACTTGTTATTAGTTGTTGACAGAAACCAAACATGAAGTCCAGTTTCGGGAAATATCCATGTAAGCAATGCCCCCCTCTCCCCCCAAAATTACTCACCACCCACCTGTGCACCCTGTGACACAGCTTTTATTATTTTTAATATAAATGAAGAGCCTTGCTAAGGGGAGTGTTTCATCTGCCTGCCTACATCTGTTATTTTGTATATAATATATAAAACAGCAATGCTGTTGTTTCTATTCTGCTATTACCCTATCAACATAAGCTTTAGCAGCACTATTGTAGATGTCAGAGGAGAGCCCTAGTCTACCAAGATGTATTTTGACTGTTAAGGACCAATATCCATTCCCCCACTCTCAGTAGTTTCGCTAATACCTCTTTTTCCCTCTAGGCCAACATACCTGACTGAATTATATCTCCTGTGCACATAGAGAAGGAATCCTTGCTACTGCAGATGGCAGCAAAGCTATTTAACTATGCTTTGTCTCTTTCACAGGGCATGGAAAAACAACTGCTGGATCCTACAGGAGATTCTTTGGCCTCAGTTCTGAACTGCCCCCTTCTGGCACCTATTAGAGACTGGCCTGTAGCTAGAAAAGCAAGTACAGAAAAACTCGAGACAATTGCATGGGTCTGGGAAAAGGTTCCAGTTTAAATAATTTTGAATCTTATAGGATCTTCCATCTTCCCTTCACCTTGCTCCATGCTCTCTCTCACTGATTCTCCACAACCTGCTCTGTGCTCACGCCATGCAAACACACCAAAATAGATCATTATTTTCTATGATAAACACGGTGATTCTACAAATGGGCCCCAAATTCCCTTTCTGTTGCCACATTAGACAGTTCCCAGCTTCTACAGACTATATATATATATAATTTCTCATAAGGCATGTCAGGACTGTAGACATTTTCCAACATGAGCATTTTTCTGGCTTTTCCAAGTTCCATCTTGGATAGACATAGTCAAATATAGTGAAACCTATGTCCATGTGATTGGCCCTAGGGCAAAGGAACACTTGTCCTTGGTTCAGACTCCTGAGAGAGGACTATCTGTGGATGTGTCCACCCAGGAAGATGGAGGCATGATTGTAGCATAGGCAAGTAGAGATGTGCTAACTTTAACATGAATGGGTAGCATGCAGAACCCAGGATGTGACAGCAGGGACCTAAACACAGACTAGCAACCACAGTATAAGGTAGTGTTCTGTGCCCCTCTTGTGGTGAGAAGAAACAGGCTCCTATTCTTTCCACATTCTTTGGGCAGGCATGATACTGAACAGTGTGGGTATAGGTGTACAAGTTAGTGTGATGAAAAGGACAAGCAACAAGAGGGAATCTGAATCATTAGTACAGGCATTAAATTACTCCTACCTATGCAGCAGAGCCAAGAAGTGGAATCTAGAATCAAATGACTCATACATAAACACCAAAAGTACATCGTGTTATCCAGTAGAGGTTGCAATAGTGCCAAATACTAATGCATGGGTAATATGACCTTCGTATTAAAAAATCCACTGTTTTACATCCAAGCATCCCTTTAGCCCTTTGAATGACAATGTCACACTAGAAACTTGTATTCAGGCAATCATCTGCCAATTCTTTTTAGCACCACTGCTCCAGAGGATGGAGCCCCTCTAATCCTATAAGCATGTCCATCATTCTTTATCCATAGATTCTAGGACCTTTTATTTGGTCAAATTGGAAGGCTTCCTTGAACTTAGTTTGCCAACTGATCCAGATCTGTCACAGTCCTAGTTATTATTTGTGCCTCCAACATCTATGCAACATTGCTTTAACATTATTTTTGTTTTGTTTGTTAAGGATCATCATTTAATAAATATGTGAGTTGGACAAAGGCCAAGATTCAAATGAGGTGAGAGCTCATTAAAAACATGCTCAGTGATGATTCTCCATTTATAATCACATTTCTATACCTCTCACTTAACTAGTTTTAAATCCAGGTAGTGTGCACCATATTGGATGCATCCCCAAGAGCAGGGGCATGTGGTTGCCATCAGAGAGAAAAACAGCAGCACAAATTTATGCCACTGCTTTTTGCCTTGCTGCATGCCCCTACACGTAGAGTTAGCATGAGAAAAAATGCTCCAGGTGGGGTAGGAGAGACTGAAGCCAGCCCCTGGGATGGTCCCAAAAGCCTTATCTGGGGTCCTGAGGGCCTCCCAGGGCTCTAGCACCGCACTGCTAATTTGCAGTACAGCAGGTGTTTTTTACACTGGGAGATTCCAGTGTCAAAAAACCCGTGCCAGGAAAAAGCAGGCTGGCACATGTGGCGGCAGCATGCGCCACTTGAAACCAGAGCCGGGCCAGCCAGAGCCATGCTCTGGCTGCCAGCCAGGTTCCACGCCCCCAGATTGCTGCCACTGGAGCTCTGAGAGGTCCCCAGGACCCCAGGTATGGTTGCTAGGGACAGCCCAGTTGCTGGACCCAGCTTTCCCAGCCCCACCCAGAGCATTCTTCTCCATGCTAACCCCATGTGCAGGGCATGCACTGGGGCAAAAAGCAGCAGCACAAACTTTCGCTGCTGCTTTTTTCCCCTGTGGCAACTGCACACCTCGGCTAATGGGGATGTGGCCATTGTGTGGTATCTGTGTTACATGATTTATAGCAATGTAATACTGATGCTATTGTCTTTGTCAAGTAACTTGTCAAACTAACTTGATATTTTTGAAGATCCAGGCTGGATAAGCCCATGTTGATTGAAATGAACTACATTACTCTCCTTTAATTCTTAACTGAGTCTTGTAACAGTTGAACCTCTACTTTGCCCTGGAATGCTGTTAGGCTGTATGCTGGAATGCTGGGTGATCCATTTTTTCTGTTATGCCCTACCAGCACTGGAAAAGGAAATGAATTTTATCAAACAAAAGAGTTGGAAGGAATTTCAAGGATCATCTAGTTCAGCCTCCCTACACAGATGTAGGATTCTCTCTTACTAAAATCAAGGCTTCAAGATGAAAGAGTTATGCTTCCAGCATGCCTACAGCATTTCTTTCTCAGAACAGTTTTGAAATTCTTCTAATGACCAGAGGGATGCCTGTAGGAATACAGTTGAGACATGGGGTTGCAGCCTGACACCAGGTTTATTTTAAACTACTTACCTTTGAAGGGGGAAAAAAAGGAATCTTTTGTTAATGTCTGCTCTGAGCACTGACCTCATCACTTCTCATCATGTTTGTAAGGAAATACTGATTAATATTTGTACAGAGTCTTCAAGTCTGTCTATTTTTAGAGGGCATCGTACATTAACTCATAGAATCATATTTCTTACTGAATAAAAAGGCAACACATTTAATATCTTTTGTTCTGTCACAACATTTCCTTCTATTCTTTCTCTTTCCTATATATAATATAGGGAAGAGATATTAATATGTAGGGCAATATATATTACCCTATATGTAATAAGGTTTCACATATGTATATTAAGGAAAGGGGCAACTGTTACAGAATACATGCAACCCTTTGGGTTGGAATTGCCAGTTCTCACAAGCTAAACAATGCCCTAGCTAGTTGCTATTTGTGAGAGAATTTTTTCTTGGAAAAATGCTGCAGAAAGCGGCATTGATTACATGAACCTTGATCCTACAGTTTGCTTGCCATAGACAAAATGTTTGTGAGAGCAAAGAACCACACTAAAATACCTAGGTTCCACACCTGCAAATGCAGGTGTGCACCCCTAATGGGCAACTTGCAGGACATGACAGGTAGAGTCTTTCTTTGTACTGTGCCAAGTAGCATTAAGTTGCTGGGGCTGTCATCTTCCAAATGAGATGTCCAACTCATACAGTGAAATTTTTCAAAGCTGCTCAAATCTCATTGAACTCAGTAAGAATTTGGCACTTGACTTCATTAGAATCTTTGAATCCTATCACACTCAATAAAGGAACAATGGCACAAAAATTTAACCTGATGTTCTTGTCCAAATCTGGGAAATGGGATTCTACCACTCCAACATTTGACCCGAGAGGGGTCATCTTCATTTCCTAATCTTAAACTTGTGTACTTTGGAATGAACACATTTGCATTAGAGTGAGTTATTAATACCATACAGGGCTCTCTCCTTCAGGTTCTTCCCATAAAGGTTGTGTTTTGCTGCTATGTAGCCAAGAATGGCTCTGGTCTGCACCATCTTCATCCCATCGATTTCTACCATGGGCACTTGTTGGAACAACAGGGCTCCATCTTTGGGAAGAAAAGAAATAGCATCAAGTCACTCAAACCCTATAGCATCACACTGGAACCAAGAGGCATAATTTGTAGGCAACTGTTTTAGTCCTACACCTTCACCTATATATGTCCATGAGGTACACAATGCTGCTTCAAGATGAGAGCTGGGTCCCAATATATTTATGTATTGCAGAGACACTGACATTCTAGTGTATAATGTGTAATTAATAAAGTATTATTACTGGTTGTGGGAAAGAGCATCTGGCTAAACAAAAATGGATTAGTGATATCTTTAACATGCTTGAAAAAGACTATGCCACAATTTTATCAAGGAGAGTTTATACAGTACTGAGAAATGTTCCAAGTATGTTGCAGTTTGAGCTATTGAGGATTATAAATCACATTAGGAGATGGTTTTATTAGAGGCCATGAACAACCAAGGCACTTGACAGTGTTTTCTAGTGGCAGGCTGGAATGTCTCAGCTTGGGTCAAAGACAGGCCAGTGCTAGGACCCAGCTATTGCCACCGCTTCTCCCTGCCTGTTTGCTGCAGCAGAATGGAAGCTCTGCACCTCCAGAATACTACCAAAGCCTCCCAGCTCCATGGGGTGGATCTAATAGCTCCATAGGCTGAATCTAGCCCACAGGCCATACGCTGCTGACCCTGATCTAGGGCACAGGCAAACATTCACTTGGAGCAGCTTCAAAAGGAGAGCATGTAGCAGCTGTTGCACTAAATGCTACGTGTGAGCAAGCCTGTAGTGATATAGAGGAACTGGATCGGAGTTAAAGCTGGAACAATTTTGCTACATGACCTTTTGGATATTTAAGTAGGTAACCCTTTATTAACAGATGTCTTAACTCTTTATGAAAATACTCTTTTATATTCCCATAATATAACCCCATGGGAGCCAACCTTTTTGGCAGGAGTGCCCAAAACCAAGTCCCATGTGCTCCTGGAGCGCCGCTCCCATTTTCTTCCCCTGCCTGTGCTCCTGCCTGATCTGTTGCTCTGTTTTCTGCTCTCTTCCCTCTCAGCCGCGATGCTGCCTATCCCCACCCTAATCTGCTGCATGTCACACAGGTTGCCCATGCCACTCGTGGCACATGTGCCACAGGTTACCCACCCCTGATATAAAGCATGACTCTCAGTTACCAAGCATATCAGAGCACCAGCTGCTGCTGCAACTACTAAAATACCTCTTTATTCTCTAATTTTAACTATTTTAACCAGTCAGCTCTAGTTCACAGTGGGCACATCTACACATTCGTTAATGCACTGTGGTTACAGTGCATTAAGTTTAGTACTTGGTTAAGCAAGTACTAAATGAATGCACAATAATTTGCACTACTGTGCAGTAGTGCTGGCACACAGGTTTTTAGTGATGCTTACTGTGCAGAAGCCTAATACTACTGCATAGTAGCGTATCAGCATGGGTTTTTGCCCAGCACACTACTGTGTGTTTAGCATCTCGTGTAGACACACCTAGTTTCTACAAGAAGTCTTGATTGTTCTAAATGAGGGTGCTCTTACCCTGCTTGTTGACTTAGTCCCAGGAGAATGATACATCCAGAAGTATCCAGAATGCAAATGCTCCCTTTCCAACTGCTGATCTCTACATCCCTCCCTCCCTTCTATCCTCTACAGGAGCTGGGAACAAGACATAGGCTATCCTAGGTCCACCAATATTAGACATACCTTGCTAATATAATACACTTACAGCAATCCTAAAATAAAGAAAACTGGCCAAGTCACTGTAGCCTTACCCTGCAGTAACTTTTCATACTGTTCTCTTGTTTCCAGAAACTCTTCTACAAACTGGGAATGGAAGAACATAGAAAGGTAGGTTACATACAATGTGTTGGGAATTATGGGTCAGGGTTAAAATAGAAAACCTCATGTCACCAGTTCACAAATGAGACAAGTAAGGAAGTCACCCTGACTCTCCCTAGCTTTGTGGCCTGGACCACCAAGAAGAAGTACACAGTGGAAAGGAGTATTGTTTAGAATATCTGACAAATCTTCATCAGGTCAAACTTCCCTTATAATTTTTTATTCTAAGTAGAGCCTCACAAAACATTTCAGTAATAGTAAATGGTGCCAGTGCGAAGTATCTTCTGCTAAGCTGTACTGCAGTCAGATCAGGCTTTCATCACCACACACAGTGTTCCAATTCGTTTATTTTTCTTACCGTTTGCCTTTTCCTAAAATAAATGTCTTTACCTTTATCTGCTCCACAGGTGTCTCCTCTTGATCTTTTATTTCTGAATGGGAAGCAGAGGGCAGCCTATGGCAAAGCACAGGAGGCCAGAATATTTGGTTTTGCTTGGACTGCTAGTGGTACACTGGCCTTAAGCAAATCACACAACATCACCTTAATTTCCTCATAAGGATGCTGATGCAAGGGTTTTTCCAAAAAGGTTAGTGATCTGTACTTCTTTACCACCCTTGATTGTATTAGGTACTTGAATTCAGAATGAATCAGTGTAGCTCGTCTGTCTTAAATGGAGCCATATCATTTTACACCACCCATAAACCTGGCCACCAGTTTCTTATGGAGAGAGAAGATATCGTTCATGTTGGAAGGCTATACATTGGCCCAAATTTATTTCTAGTAAAAGGCTATGTTCATTTCAATGGAGTTTGACATTCTTTGTCAATGGTAGTCCATAGTGTATACAATTTGTTTCAACCCAAGTCTTTTCAGTTTTTATCAGTGGCAGTTTATAAATTGGGTAAGCAATACTTGTTTTTAGTTTTTCTTTTTAAACACCTGATGCATCTCTTGTATGTCACAAAACTTTTCCACCCATTAATCTTCCACATAAAGAATGTTAGTGTCCAATTACTTAGTGCTAAATTCCCATTCAACATTTTATTTAGATTTTTTACTCTTAACCCTCATCGCTACCATGGATCAGCTTCAAAAGGCAGCAGTCTCAGGCCCTCACATCTAGATGTTTAATAATTGCATTATTTCCACAGCTTAAATGCTTACTATTTAATACATTCATAAGATTGTACTATGATAACATAATTCCTTAACTGTGAATCAACCCAAGTAGGAAGTAGATTATGGTGCGTCTAGGAACAGTATATTTGCTAAGTGGGTTAGGGAAGGTGGGTGAAGTCATAACAAGCTGATAAATTAGAACCAAGGTAAGAAAATAAAATGTAGAAATGTAGACACAAGTGGAATGTGAAATGCCTTCGGAGAGACGAAGAAAAAACAGTGAAACGATCAAGCAGAGGGGAGTGATCAAACATATCATTTAAACAGGCAGAAGCATTTTGGATAGACTGTAAATGTAGGGGGAAAAAACAAACAATAAACTCTCAGCTGAGCCCAGCTCTTTAGAATGCCATCATTTTGAATAGATGTAGAACAATGGACCCTATGGATAATGACATAACCTATGCAGTGTTATGAGTTATAAGTGTTGAGAGTGGGAGGGCACACCACAGCCACCCCTACTGCTTCTGGGTGCTGGCTCCAGCTAGACTGCAGCCCCATGCCTGTGCCCTGCCATCAGTGCAGAAATCTGGCGGGGCATGTGCCCCTCAATGCCCCCCCAATTATTCATTATTCATAATCCATTATCCACCAATGGATAATGACCTGGGCAACACTTTGAGAATCAGGCACCTAAATCCACACACAGGAAGTTCCTCCTCTTCTGGGAATGCCTTAACAGCTAGGCAACAGGGTCATGCTATCGCTCTTCCTTGCTTTGCTCAGGGGTGGACAGTGGCCCCATCCCAGCCCTTGGGGAGACTAGAAATCTTGGTTTAAACCTTAAACTGAGAAAGGTATTCTCAACCCCAGTCCATAACTTCCTGGATAAGTGCTTCAGTCACCAAATTATTTTATATATGTGGCAGGACTGGTCACTTTTCCCTGCATTTGGAAAAGAGGGAACTATGCTTAGCTCTTGTAAAGAATTCTCATTGTCACAGACCATCAGGAAAGGAATCTCAGCT